TAATTAAGACATTTTCTTTAACATTCCTCATTCAAAGYAATGCACCAAGTTTATCCACTTACACAGTTTTCAAAGGAGCAAAGTTGYTGTTTGAAAAGGATGTTTTTCTCTGCAATAAGAAACCTTGCCCAAAAATTAACATTGTTTCATCCTGGTTTGAACTGCCACCACAGGAGACCTGTTGCCACCTTTTCTCCAAAGCAGGACCACTAACAATATTCCTGTGGGAGTTGTATTTACAGGAAATTTTCAAACACAGGTAATGCTACTTACAGTAAGTTAAGTGCTACCAGATTTTGTTGTCCAAAGTGAGTTGCTGCTTTCCAATTTAAATACATACAGTTATTTTAGGGTTCTTTTTAAGTCTTGACTAGTAAAAACGTAAGTCTTCTTTCTCATTAACAGTGACATTCAGGTAGGCATTACTATTCACTGTATGTCCTTCTACCAGCTTTAATGATTTTTTGAGAAGTTACTTGTCCCCTTATTCTACAATAGACAAATAAGAAGACATYTCTTTTAGGTAGTTCTCCCACACTTGTTTGCACTCTTAGCTACGGAGTTCTCACGTTTTTTCTGTTTCACCAAATGTTCCTCCTCAACCCAGTGCATGCTGTAAATTCTCTCTTTAGTTAAGCTGATCAAAACTAAACTGCCTCTCCATTTACCAACTCGGGTCTTCAGATGCTTACAACTTTTACAGATTTTTTTTTCTTAATATTGTTCGCTTTGTTCCAACAGACTTTTTCCAGTTATGCTATGATGACTCATCTAAAACTCAGTTTTATGAAGGAAAAACAGGAGGAAGAGAGAATAGACTAGTGGCCAGTGTCTGGCAATCAGATAGATAAAAGGTGCAGCAGTCTGAGACAGATAAAAGAAAGTGATGTGAAACAGAAATACTCAACAGAAGTTCCAGATACAGATACTTCCCCAGTAGGATATTTACATAAGTCAACTTTTTAGGGCCTAGTTTAGCTAGATCAGTCTATAATAATCAATAAAAAGAAAAATATCCTCATTTGTCCATCTCACACAAGCAGATGCCTAGAAGGATGTGTCTGTTCTAATGAGAATCGTAATTCTGAAAGCCTCTGAATAAGTATGAGCAATTGCAAATCACTCTCAGGACTCTTCAGCAATTTTCAAAGTGCTCACAGTGTCAGTGTAGCCAGTATTTGGTAACTCACCAAGCCAAGCCAACATGCACTGATAATAGCGGGTGTTTTTGTCTGCTTGGCACCACTGTATGATGGGGTCAGCAAAAGTTCTGTCCCAAAAGCAGCAGCTCCTGTCCAGAGCAGCCTCCATTTGTTTCTCTAGGCTGCAGACAGCTGGCATTGCAGTGCGTTTGAAGCTTAGCATGGAAAACACTGGARCATTCACACAATAATCCTCCCCAAACCCAGTCACTCACTCAAATGGCCTTGGAAATAACAGAGGAGAGACCATGTCCTTCAGTTCTTTCAAAATTAGGAAATAACCTATGCAACAGAAGTCAGGAAGGTGTCTAGGAAAGCACAGTTTGGGGCCAATTGATTCTGTTAKTACAGCTGATAATGCCAAAACCTTAAACCTCAATACCAGAGTCTGGAGAASAGTTTGTGGTGGCAACCCAAACATTAAAAGTCACAGATGCAACAACCTTTGCTAATCTCTGAATTTTACAGCATTTGTTCTGCCTGAAGAAAAAATGTATGGTSCCAGATATAGAGTACACTAGAAGGAGAACAACAGGAACTTAGCCAGCATCAGGCAGTAACCAAGAGTGACAAGCAATAAAAAATTAAATTTTAGAAGGTAAAAGCTTGGGAACAGAGCAACATAGTTCAGTACTTATTTTGGTAATGGTATTTCACAAAAATCCAGRTACCAGTAGTGGATTGTAAATTGTGGGAAGGGGAAAAGTGCAGGCTGGTACAATTGTTATTAACTGAAATGCAAATTATCCTGATTAAGTATTAAGCATTTACATCCAAGGCTGGGTGGTTTTCTCTTTTAAAAATTTTTTTAGGCTTTTTTTTTGGTTGGTTGGTTTTTGTTTTGTTTTGGGTTTTGTTTGTTTGTTTGATATCTGTTTTGGTTTGGGTGGAGTTTTTTTTGCACATCCATGTATAACCACACATTTATATTATCTGTATACAGGAACTGGAGASAAGCATCCCTTGACACCTTGCACTTCCAAGCATTAGAGAAAGCCTTACACATCAAAAGAAACAATTGCACTTGCAAATGCAGAGGTTCACTGGTTAACAACAAAAATACTTGCACCATCATYTGCAGAAGTAACACCAAGTTGCCAACAAAACTAGTAAACATTAAATACACACTTTTTTTTTCCAAAACTCCGAAAGAAAAATCCTTCTCTATCTCACTAAAAGTGGAGCTATGCTATTTTTTTCCTCTAAATGGAGATAACACAAATAATAAAGATGGTTAAATCCAAACCTGAAAGTTATATCCAGAAGGATTTTAATTAATTTTTTTTTTAACACAATAGCTATTGTCTGCAAGTAGACACTGAACGAAGYAGTACAGAGAGTTTTGACACAAAACACCATCTTTTTGTAAGCATGACACCAATGGAAACTAGTTTTTATATAGCTTAGAGGAAAGGGATGCTGGTTGAGGCCATTGTGTCAGACCATGTACTGCTGGTGGCCTTCCTTACTGCTGTCAGGAACTCCTGGAAAGAACCACTCTGGGGGCTGTACTGTTCTGCAGGCAGGGCCAGGAAGAGAGCAGGACATGGGAACAGGGAGTACTAAAGTGACCCYGAAGCAGGAGCCTGTCCAGCCTCCCAGCCAGGATTCAGGTTGCACTGTAACCTCATCTGAACCGTGGCGAGGTCCCCAGGGTTCATCACCTTGGACACACCTGTYACCAACAGTTGTTCACAGCAATCTGCACTGCCAACTATGCTCAGGAGCAAATTATAACATCCCAGGAACACCCAAGAGATCAGGCAAGGACAACACTTCTTTGGCTTCAGTTTCTCGACAAGTTTACATCACATGGTTTCCTCTGCTGGCTTTACTACACAGCCAAAATTAGACTGTGGTGGTTTGGTGGAGGCACCTGGGATGACCCTCAGACTCCCTTGTAACTCTCAGTGTAACAGAAGTCTGGTTCTAGTGCTGTTTTCCTCAGTATGTTGCCAGAAATAATACATTTTAGAAATCTGTAATTTCTAAATATCTCCTGCACTTCCAGAAACCTCTAGCAGTAACTAACAGTTACAAGCTGTATTTGTTCTTACCATATAGTAATAACTAAGTACATGATGTCAACGTGTCCAGAATGAGATCCTCAGATTTAATCATGGAATCATAACAGAATGGTTTGGGTTGGAAGGGACCTTAAACACCACCTTGTTCAATACCTGGCCATGGGCAGGGATACTTTCCACTAGATCAGGTTGCKCAAAGCCCCATCCAACCTGACCATGAACACTCCCAGGGATGGAGCATCCACAGCTGCTCTGGGTAACCTGTTCCAGTGCTTCACCACCCTCACAGGAAAGAATTTCTTCCTAATATCTAATCAAYTTAWKCACCATGWTTCTCAGGGAAKATCCTAGATGCTTCCCYTTCAATAATAAAAAYGGCAGAAATATTTGCCATAYAGAAGATCCTATTTTTTACAATTAATCATTATTCCTAGATAAGCATTTTGAAAGGAATACACAACCACTTCCAGACACAAGAAAATGCTGATGAAATTAAAGTGAAATTTTTCAATTGCTCTGTAGAGTAAGAAATGCTCCAAGACATTTTTAAACATACCTCTTAACAGTTCTAATTCACCAAATTTAACATATCAGACTACTTCCTTTCTAAATGAAATGGTCTAAGTATTCCAAAGAAATGGAAATTTTTAAGGGTCTAGGTATTTTAACCTTATAAATATTTCTATATGTTCGTAATAATAAACACTACCAAGGTACTTACTCCTACTTTCTATAAACTGTACTACAGCAGACCAGACAAAATGTTAAAATGTTATTTGTAATAGAYTGCTTTACAGATAAGCATAGGAGCTATTCATATTTCAATTAAAATCACATTCATACCTAGACCTTTCATGAAACTCAGCAATTGGAAGTGCTGCACTATTTCTCAAGTTTATTTGTTAAAAAGGCAATTAAGACACATCCACCCCTGACTGGAGTCACCAAGGAAAAAAGTGAAAATTATTCTTAATCTGCTAACACCTTTGATGGTACTATGATAAATGCCCATAGATTAGCAGTTAAAATACTTTTAATCTCTGTTTGATCTGTGTTTTAGACATATCTTCTCAAGATTAGGGGTAAAAAAAAAATTAAAAACCTACCAAATTAAATTGTAATTCTATATCTTGTGCAGTTTATGGATAGTTTTGCATTTGTATTATTGCAATTTTTTTAAAGCACAGTAAACCAAAATATTTCAAACACCCTAACAGTTTAAAATACCAAATGTTTGCCACTAATCAATTTCAGTGTTTAACAATTCAATGTTTTATTGTATTGTRAAAATTTAGCCTAATATATGCTTARAATTGAGACCATGATARCATTTTCTTTGCTATGCAAGAGCCTGATTAAGTTACATTGGTAGAACAGATAATTATTCAGTGTGAMTATCTTGGAATGGCCAGTGAACTAAAGTATTTAGATTCCTTAACAAACCCTAGAGAACTAGCTCACTGAAACAACTGTTTAATTGATCACATTACATGCTCAATTTAATATTTTAAGAAATAGGGTGGGGTAGTAAAAGAAACACTTCACTCTACTTCTTTTASACAGCAACTCTGGTGCCAGAGGCCRGATGCTTTCAGAGACACTAATTTAATAAACTTAATTACTTTATGCTCGTGATATGTCAATGCTGAATTAGTTTTCACTGCAGARCAAACTCCATTAGGAACACTGATGCTCATTCTTAATGTTCTGCAAGAGGCAAAACTTTAGAACCCRCAACACACACACTCAAAAACCACATTCATAAGTTAACCTTGCACTGCAGCAGCTTCTGAATTAGCAGCAGCTTCCTGCTGTGCTTCCTCCACAGCATGGGATGCCTCTGGAGCCAGTAAGTCCTTTTCCTCTCTGGCTTCTGGGGATACCCCAGAGCTCTCATCCTGTGCTGTGGGTCCAGAACTCTCATCCTGTGCTGTGGGTCCAGCACTCTCATCCTGTGCTGCAGGTTCAACAGCAGCTGCTGCATCAGCCTCTTCCGATTTCTTCTCTGCTTCAGTGACTTCATCCGTCTCTTCATCACCTTCTAAGGATTTATTCAATACAATAAAGAGAGTAAAATGCATTCATGCAACAAAAATTTCACCAACTACTTTTTATCACCATCCTCATTTAAATTTAAAGTGGGAAGCTAAGATTTGGAATCAAAATTTTTAAAAAAATGATGAACCCTCCATATTGCCTAATGTGGCATCAAARAACGATGTTTACAAGATGAGGAAACCATATCTTAATTACTAAGTCTCATAAACTGCTTCTATGTGATAAGAAAAGAAACTGTGGCTTAAAGCAAGTGTAAGGGGTGCAGGGAAGGATATCAAAGGATCTTGCCAAGTATTGGCAGACCAGTCTGCTGAAAAGGCCAGTGATGGTACATACACAGGTGCCAGAGGGAGTGTGACTCTGTGGAATTACCATGTGGGGAATAAGACATTTGGTCTTATATAAGTAAGAAAATAACTTGCTAATTTTAAGTGGTCAGAGTTCACTTTCTCAGAGATATGACCACTTATGACTACTTTCCTTTTACGAGTCCCAATTCTCTTTTAAAGACAGTTTGCATCACAGTGGGTCAGACTCTTTAGAACTCRAAAATAGTGTTTTCAGTCATGCATTACTTCAAACTCAGTTGAGAAAAGTCATGAAAAACTAACAGCACAAAGCAACAAAGATGCACAACTACTATGCAAACATGCACTAACAGCGAGTTCACAAAGGAAAGTTATACATGAACTGTTCATCACAAGTTCACCACTAGAACCAACTCACCATGTGAAAAAATAGAACTGGAAATGGAAGTTCATAATACAGTGTAAACTACATGAGAATTGGAACTAAAGAGCTTAAAGAGACATAGTCAGTTTGTTTTATTCTTTTGTGTCTGTTTAAAAACAAAACAGATTAATTTTATTTCTTAGTCTTCTTATGTCAGTGCAAGCCTATCATTTTGTGTTCAGGTTCAAAGACAAGTCATTCATTGCTCMGTAAAAATCAAAACTTCATATTATGCAACCTGATCATGTCCCTTTAAGAAAACACTATTTTAAAAAAAAAACCCAACAAATTCATTACACAAAGAACAGACTAACAGCCAAGCTCAGCATTCAGTACACTTTATTGGACAATCAAATATAGAGTGCATTCATTCCRAACAGCCAGCTTCTCCAGAACTGCCTTCTACAAAGCAGATTCAGTAATAAGCTCAATATGGTTTGGCCTTGCAAACATARGTAGTTTTTTTTTAAGTCTCACAAGAATGGAGTTTTACAATAGAAGGTATAAAGTCATCCCAAGGTAGGCTGCAAGGTACTCAATGGTGAACGACTGTCCTTTGTATTTAACTTCCTCAGGTTTGGAAAGAGATTTCCCTTGTATTTTAGTCTGGAAAGTGTAAAAGCAGAGTATAGATTAGAAAGATTGAATCAGCTTGCATTGAGTTAAAAAGAAAAGTCATAGCTAAAAAAGAAGGAAACCAGGAAYAAGCTTAAAGGAGACACACAACAAATGGAAGACAAAACTCAGTATTTGCCAAATAAGCAAGTAGAACATCCTSCAAGCCAAACATCATTTTACAGCTCAAATGATGTCCCAGATTTCCTATTGCTACTTCGAGAGGGCTTTTTTAATCCCTCCCTAAATTTGAGAGTAGCTTTCAGTTAAAAAGAGCTACAGGAAATTTGCTATCAGATCTCTTAAAGATGTCAGTTATCATTAATTAAAACACCATTAAATATCACTTCAACCCTCTAATGAACAAAGAACCCTAGAGTAAGATTTGATTGTTTCTCTTGTTTTGACAGATTGTTTGCCGTGTACAGTTCTCTGTAATAGACATTTTGGGTTCGGGCATAAGGGGAGAATTTCCCCTACATGAGAAACCATAAAATTCTATCAAAAGAGTCTCTTTCTGATCAGCTGTTCTCCAGTATTAAGTTCTCCCACCTAGAMAGTTCTTTTACCATAGGCAGCAAATATGCCACAAACATGCTGCTTGGCATGCTGTTTTTCTATCCACCACTTCATATTGTTACCAGCTCTGTTTKAGAGCTTGACTTAAGCTAAAAAAATACCAGATTACTTTGAGAATGTAATTTTTTACTGCTCTTATTGGCAATGTTTACTGTGAAAAAGTGTAAGGATTGAYTCCAAAGAATGCACAGGGAAAGAAACTGCAGTGGCACTTCTGGGAAAAGCAAAACTATGGTAACACCCTCTAACAAGATAYACACAAAAATATGGCTATGAAGGAAACAGGAGAAAAAGGGGRGGAAGAAGGGTGTTAACTTTTCTGAGAGGCACACAGAGGATTCTGTAGGAAAAGAACAGAAACCTCTTTTGGGTATACACAGCTGGGAAGGCAGAAGGGTTTTAAAAAGGAGCTGATTCAATAGCTGGTTTTGTATTGTGTATTGGAATTAGCTACTCAGAAGTCCAACTGAAAACTCTGGGTTGAGCTTTTATTCAGAAGTCCAATATTGAAAATAATATACGAAACAAATCTCAACTGTATTCACTGAATGGSCTTAGAAACATTCTGGACTTCTTAYTATCAATAAAAAAAGGGAGGCAGCAATCATCTGTCACTGGCTGTGACATTTATGTGTTAGAGTTACTAAGCAGCACAAAGCAGCAGRTGATGGTATGGCAGGAGCATACCCAAATTCAGAATTCAGTTKTTGAGCAGTCAGTACTGCAGGTATTTCACTCCTATGTGTGTGTGGGTAGGCCAGGGCTAAAACTCAGTACCTTGCAGAAGAGCACCTCAAGAGCAAAGAGGGAGTTCATCATTCATTCCATCATTGGGAATACATTGGAAGGTTTGCTTAATGCTTCCCTGTCCTCCCAGCTATGGTAGTCAGAATGTAATAAGGGTAACCCTCACTTTTGCCCTGAACAGCAGGACACCAGGTCCCTAGCAGAGAAGGTCGACTTTCGTTCTGGTTCCAATATTTATTAGGAACAATGAAGGATTGCAAATTGTGGCTGAATTCTCAGCATTTAAAGAACTGAATTTAAAAATTATACTGTGTTCAGCTGTTTTCTGTTTAGGAAATTAAGGCGTTTTACTTTACTATTTACTACTACTATTTACTTTACTATTTACTACTTTAAATCTTAAAATTTGCAGTTTTAAAGCTCTGAAACTAAAGCATGTGTTTTGGAAGTTCAAGGCTAACAACTTCTGAAGAAACAATTATAGACAATATATAATTATAGAGGCAGACAATTTAAATCATGTTCTCACAGTGAAAACAAAACTTAAACTCAATACACTTTATTAAAATCTATTCTTTGTGTGCATGCAAATATATTAAATCAATTCCCTAGACGTCAGCATAAAAAAAAATAAGGAAGAGCTTCAAGTGCTCTGGCTTCAATACTTAATTTAKTTTTTCAATAACAACCAAATAAAAATACATAAATTTCCTAAAGTAATTTTCCTAATTGCTTTTCCTATCAAGGCCATGCTTGCCAAAGTTTTCCTTTTACATTAATGCCATAACATTAATTGATGTAGACAGGGACAACATTCCATTACAAATACTAGCACTAACAYGGTCTAATTATTCAAGCATGAAGAGCTAAGTAAGGATTTCCAATACATTTAGGTAATACCTGTGCTTCATTTAACCCCAAATTACAATCAAAGTTGTGGGACAAAAAATTGGTCCAAGTTAGAATATTTTTTTAAATTTTTCCTATTGAACTGTGTTTCCTGATGGCATATGGCCTGGAGCCAACCTGTTGGCTGAGAAAAAGATATTATCTTCTCCCCCACCAAAAAACAAAAGAAAAAACTGATTTTGACAGCATTATGCATTCAGTCATGTTTCATTAAGCTTCCAGTAAATCAAACACCCATTATACAATTAATAGTATTCACACATCAACTCTTTCTGCCCAAAGAGACTCCACAGGTGTTTCAAATATTGAGATTCACCCCCTGAACATTAAGGTCACTGCCAAAATTTGTGCAGCAGCAGCACAAATTCTGYTCTCTTTGTAACAGAACAACACTGCACAACCACCTTTGTCTTCACTCGCACTCACACAGCTCAGACAAGGATTTGCACAGWGCTAAACCCTGATTAGACAATCCAGAAATCTGTTTTAGATCCTCGTGTACCCAGGCAGCAAGAGAGAAGAGCTCAACTCACCCTTCCTTGACCAAGAATTGCTTTTTCKCCCCTCGGCTCTCTCGCGAAGAATATTTGTATGTTCAATAAACTTGGTGCGTGATGAATTGACTACTCTGTAGGCCTGAAAAGGAATTATGCCAAAACTTACTGCCACATCTCTACAAAGCTACCAAACACAAAGAGGAGAGAGGGAGACAAGGGATTTTAAGCAAGTGCTACTGCCCCTCTTAAAATGCATATAAAATTTATGCTAAACAACGCTAAAAAAAAATTAACAACCAACCACACTAACATCTTTACATATTTCATATTTCTCCATTTTTAGAAAGCAAATAGAATATGCCATGCAGCTTTTGAAGTGCTGCTGTGTTTCAGGAATTGAAAACAGCATTATAAAAGATAATTAGAGTCCGATTATTATTTTTGTAAGGTGGTAAAAATGTGGCAGCAAGAGAAAATGTTATTCCTCCAGAAATGTAATCATAAAAGTTAGATATTTTGAACAAATAGCWACTTACCATTCAAGTGGATTATTTTGTGGGCAGGGAAATATGTACCTCTCTGGGGTATGCTAGYCCCTATCTCAGATCTTGGGAGAGAGGGGTAGAAGTAAGCTATGAAAAGGAGGATTTAGGGAYGTGAAGCACAGAATCTGATCATTTAGAAGCAGGAAAGAGAATGGTTACCMAAAAGCTTAACAAAAGCAGATGTTTACAAAACTTTAACATGCTTTTTTGAAGTATCATGCTCTTATCTTTTTTTGTGCCCAAATTAACAACGTTCATATCTTCCCCTTGTACCTTCAGACAGTTTAAGTCACATCTGCCTTGCCCACTTTGAGATATTAATGTTTGTGGCTCACAAGAAGAGGCAGGGGGGTAGAGGCGGGTGCGTTACTCCATTTTTGGACACATTCATTTGGCAGTTTTAAATATGCTTTCTACTAAGAATGACCCAGCATTACTCAGCAAAGTAAAAGCAAAACAGGCAAGCAGTAGGCTTTCAGTTTCACTAAATTCTCTTAAGCTGATTTCTAAGTTAGACTGCACTTAGCTATATGCTATTATATCYACATTCATTGAGAGTTTTCAACTTGATCATACTCTTTTAACCCAGAACACACCTTATATCATGCCAGCTCAAAAATGACAAATAGCTCCATCCTCAAACACTTACATAAAATAAACCTCCAAAAGCAGCAACACCAGCAAGGAGATAGATCATCATGTTGTCTCCAGAAGAGCCAGGAACGCTCCCAGATGACATCTGGCGAGGAGGAGCTAYAAAAACCATTAGGTAAATTGATGTGAAGTACAGCTAAAGCATGGTCATAAAAAAGAATTATGGAATCTGAACTCTGTATGGGAAAGGATCGTTCAAAAAGGTCATAAAACAGAGAGATACAGCTTATCCATGTATCCTATGACTAAGTAACATTGGGTGTGATGCTCAAATGAACAAGGTCCATGGCTGGACAAGGTCCATGTAAAAAAGTTCCTTAGTAAGGTAGGTAAAAGAATTAATCTGTCTTTATTCTTTATGCTTCACAGAAGTAATGTATTTGCAGTTTAGTAACAGGGAATTTAAAAAAAAAGCTTTCTCATTTGAATCAATGTTCTTTCATTCTCAGACTGCTGACACCTTAATACATACCTTTACCTCATTAATTGGCCAAACAGATAGGATTCTGTAATTTTTATATCTGATTAAGTACATATTAACTCTAGCAGCAGTGCTACCCATTTATTTATGATAAACTTATTCATCTGTACATCCCAAAGAGAGACCCATAGATAGCCTAYGTAATTCTCTTGGACAACTAGGCTTCCAGCTGAATTTTGTGATTTGATCCCAGATGAGAAATGTCTCATCGAAAAAAYGCTCATGAAAAGTAAAATGGCTCTGAGCACTGCAATTGGCAGCTGCAAAAATAGTCGCAATCTCAAATCGTTACCATCGTCTGCCAGATTATGTTTAGCATCATCTGTCTCATGACACACTTCTCAGACTCCTCTTTAATAGCTGAACATCCTAATGGATTTGCGCACATTTATATTTTCGTTCGGCAGCARTATCTCCTTAACCCTCTCCGCCGGRGCTGCTAGCGATAACCGGACAGTTCTCAGCGAGCTGCCATCGCCCAACACGGCTGCCAGGTTTTTTTGCCACTGGTTACACAACCCCTGATGCGCCAAAAGCCATGAATGCGGCACGCCGGGTGCGCTCCCGTTCCCTCCGGGGACCGGCAGCCCTGCGGGGACACCGCCGCTCCGGCTGCTCTCCCGGGGTATTTGCACCCTGCAATTTTATATGGAAAGGAAGGCAGCAGCGGCCGCCGTTTTGCCATGGAGCGGAGGGTCCCGGGCCGGCTCGGCCGGGTCCCAGCGGGTCGCGGCGGAGGTCTGAGGCAGCCAGTGCCCAAAGCCCAGGATGACCGAGCAGCAGCACCCGGCTCCCGCCCGCCCCCGCCGCACCTGTCCTGGCCCCGCGTTTCCCCGCCTCGCCCGTCGCCTGTCACCCGTCACCGCCGCCGGTACCCGGCCCGTCCCGTCCCGCGCCCCCTCACACCGTCCCGSTGACCCCTACCCCCGGCCGGCTCCGCGTACCGCGCTGCTTGAGGCGGCTGGCGGCGGCGGGAGCCCTGCTCAGGCGGGAGGCCAGCGCCTGGGAGGCGGCTCTGCAGAGGGACATGGTGGCAGCGGCACGGAGCAGAGCAGAGCCGGCGCTCAGCTACCCGTCGTCGCGGGGCTGCGGCGGGGGACACCGGGCCCGCCCCGGGAGCAGCGGGGGGCGGGCCGGACCGCAGCCCCGCCCCGCGCACCTGGACGCCGCTCCCACCGGGGATGCCCCAGGGTCGAGGCGGTGGCGGAGGGAGGGGACAGAGCCCCCGCCGTAGCGGGAGGAGTCAGCGGCTTACGGGAGCGCAGTGCTTGCCACGCCG